GAAATCACTGTCCAGAACTAGAACATCTCTTTTTAGTAGCAAGGTTTTGAGACCATGGAAAAACAATCAATTCCCATGCAAAATACTAAAAGCCTTTGTTTTGGATTAGGCCACTGTGTTTGTGCAGCAGACAAACAGTATTAAATTAAGAACATAACTTTACAGCTGGAGAGATGGCTCAGTGATTAAGAGCATTGGCTGCTCTGGCAGTGGACCCTGGTTCAGTTCCCAGAACCCACATGGCAGCCCACAACTATATGTAACTACAGTTCAGGAGATTCGACACCCTCTTTTGTCCTCCATGGGCAAAGGCATGTACATGGTGCACTTACATACATGTAAGAAAAACATTAACACTCACACATACACATATTTTAAAAAGCAAATTAATTAAAAAATCTTTTTTTAAAAAAGAACACTGGAGAGATGGCTCAGTAGTTAAGAGCACTGGCTGCTTTTGCAGAAGACCCAGGTTCGAATCCCAGCACCCACATGGTGGCTAACAACCATCTGTAACTCCAGTTGCAAGGGACTGGAGACCCTATTCTGTCCTCCGTGGGCATTGCATGACACAAGTGCACTTACATACATGTAAGCATAACACATTAAAAAAAGGAAGAGAGAAAGAGAGAAAGAAAGAACAAATATTACTTTACTAGTGGGCTAGAGCTTCCACTCTCTACACCTGAAATATGTCTATTTATAATACACAGGGTTCAAAACACCTCTACGTTTTGAAAATATGTACATACAGGTATACACATGTATTTTGAAAACTAAAGAAAATACCTCCGAAGTAATTTTCTTTTGTGCCATTTCTATCTCCTTTTGTTTGCACAGGTGATTTGCAAGGATCCCATCTTGTAATATCCTGGCATTTTGTTCTCGAGAAAGTTGCCTCTGAGTGTCATTTCATTCCTCTAAAACCTAGACATACATTTCACCAAATCTTCAGTCTCATACCGTTATGTAGGTTGGGAAGAGGGTATCTAAAAACTTAATTAGGAGTAAACTTAAAAAAAAAAAAAACTGTCCACAGGAATCAGCCTATGGAAAACACAAGGACCTCTATCCCACAAGAAATACTCAAATTTCAATGGCATATTATAGTTAAATTTGTTCAAAGAGCAAAAGTACTTCTTAGAGGCAGTGAGAGTATTGTAAAATAAAGTTCTGTCACAAACATTTAACTAGAGTTTTAAAGTTAGTCTGTATTTTAAAAATGGCTAAATTAACATTTACAATTCAACTCAACTTACCTTCTCTTCCTTCATTCAGAAAAAAATAATGAAACATCAGATTCTTAGAGTCATAATAAAATAATTTTAGTTATACATGCCTGTGCTAGATAGCTTTAGTTGTCAACTTGACAAACTGGAACCTCAACTGAGGAACTTTCTCCATTGGATTGGCCTGTGGCTATCCCTGTTGGGTATTTTCCTGATTGTTAAGTGATGTGGGAGGGCCCAGCCCAATGTGGTCAGGTGCCATCCCTGGGTAGGTGGTCCTGTATTGTATAAGAAAGCTGAGCAGAGACCAGGGGAGCAAGCCAGTAAGCAGCATTCCTCTATGTTCTGTGCTCCAGGTTCCTGCCCTGAGGTTCCTGCCTTGGATTCCCTTGATGATGGACTGTGCTGTGTTGGTTTTGGTTAGTGTTTCGTCACAGCAATAGAAAGCTAAATAAGAAGGATTGGTGGAATGTTGCTGTGACAGACATAACCTTGGTGTTTTGGGGAGGATTGCAGAAGCATTTGGACTCTTGGGCCAGAAAGGCCATTGAGTGCTTGGAGCTTAGTGAGCTGTCACTGTGGAGCTTGAAATAGTTATACTGAAGAGAAATGTGGATGATGGAGACCTGGCTTGAGACATTTCAAGGGAAGCAAAGACTATCAGGGCTGTTTGTGTGCTATTTTGAATTGAGAATCTCTGGTTTCTAGTCAGCTGAGGTTGAAGAATCAGCTGTGATTAAGAGACCAGCATCACAGAAGTGAAATCTTCTAGAAAGTACTTCTTCAGGGTCAGCACACAGAAGCTGTGGTCCAACCCACAGCTGAGGACACCCAATGCTCTATGTCAAGCAGGAAGCAGGACTTAGTAATGTGTAAGAGATTCCTACATGGTATTGGTTTTGAAGGCATGAAGAGGTCATGGAGAGTAGCTGAACCTTGGCACTGTGATAGGCCAGGAGAAGCCATTGGTGAAGACACAGCCTTAGTTGTAGACAAGACCCCTGCATATTGGAGATGTCAGGATCATGGGACAACCACCAACAATGGCAGGTGTGGAATGGAGCCAGTCTTATCTTACAAGATAAGCTGTGTGTGCTGTGGATGGCAGAGCCAGAGAACTGGAGCTGCTCATGCCCTTTGGTGCTCAGATCGTGAGTGAATTCGGTCCTCTGCAAGAGCAGTCAGTGCTCTTAACCACTGAGTCATCTCTCCACCAAGGCTATAACTCAATCTGGAAGCAGGATTTGGTAATGTGTAAGAGTCTCCTGCATGGTTCTGGTGTTGAAGGCATGGAGAGAATCTGAGGCTTTGCACCCTGAGAGGCCAGAAGAGCACATTGGTGAAGGTACAGCCTCAGTTTCAGTAGAGACCCCAGCATATTGGAGATGCCCCAGGACCTTGGGGCAACCACCAAAGACAGTGGTAGGTGTGGAATGGAGCTGGCCACAAGACAAAAGACAAACTGTGTTGGCAGAGCCAAAGAAGTGAAGCTGCTCAAGCCCTTTGGAACCCAGGTGAATGAATCCCATCTGCTAGACTTAGGCTTTGCCTGACTCTTCCTTTTTTGAAATAAGTTGTTTTGGATCTTCCTTTTTTGAAATAAGACAGTGCTTGTTTTGGATTTTACAGGAGTCTAGAGTTAAAAGAATTTTGGGAGATTTTGAAATTTAAACTGTTTGGATTTTTTAAGGGCTGTGGGATTTTTAAAGTTGTACTGTTTTATGCTGTGATATTAATATTAACATCATATTTGGAGGACAAGAAATGAAAAGGTTTTGGTTTAATAGCAGTGTGTCCATGTGTCAAGTTGACAAAGGGCCCATTGTACCAGATAGCTTTAGTTGTCACCTTATTACACTGGTTAGAGGGAACCTCAACTGAGAAACTGTCTCCATTGAACTGGCTTGTGGCCAGGTCTGTAGGGCATTTTTTTGATTTATGAGTGATGTGGGAGGGCCCAGCCCACCATGGGTGATGCCACCCCTGGGCAGGTGGGTCCTGTGTTATATAAGAAAGCAGGTTGAGCAGAGGCCAGAGGAGCATGTCAGTAAGCAGTGTT